TGTGTGAGAGTGTGTGTGAGAGAGAGTGTGTGAGTGTGTGTGTGTGTGTGTGAGAGAGAGAGAGAGAGAGTGTGTGTGTGTGTGAGAGAGAGAGTGTGTGTGTGTGTGAGAGAGAGAGTGTGTGTGTGTGTGAGAGAGAGAGTGTGTGTGTGTGTGAGAGAGAGAGTGTGTGTGTGTGTGAGAGAGAGAGTGTGTGTGTGTGTGAGAGAGAGAGTGTGTGTGTGTGTGAGAGAGAGAGTGTGTGTGTGTGAAGTCATAGTGAGTAACTACTGAGGTCAGATTTGCTGAAAGACCGAATCACGAGCGTTTGCAGCAGTTAAACTGGTTTTGTCTCATGACGCATATTGAGTTTCGTCCCATTCATCATCTCTGCCTTTCTGTGCGAGCGAGAGTCTTTCATTCAGTCTTTGTTTTGATCGTCTGGCTGGACGGATGTGACGTCGGCAGTAAAAGACTCGCTATTTAAGTGATAATTCTGATTATTCGGACATGGTTTTCAGCCCCACCGCCTCTGTTTTGGGGGTGAAGCTGTAGGGGGCGGGGCCACGTGAAACACCGCCTCCTGTCCGCTCGCCGAGCCAATGAAATAAAGGTTTGCGGCCAGCAGAACAAGCAGAGGCAGGAAGGAGAGAGCGAATCCAAGCGCTCGTACACTGCTGCCGAACACGACACACACCCAGTAGATCAGCCTGAGAATAAAACACACACGCGCTTTAATGAGCCACACAAACACATTCAAAAATTGTGTAAATTGAAAAAAGACATTCTTAAGTAAATTGTCACAGTGAATTAAATGATTTGTTCAGTGCACTGTGTACTTTTCGGAATCAACAAGTAACGTAACGTGTTACTTTCTGAATATACAACATAATATCCAGATCTCTTTTTCCAAATAAAAACATTTTGGTTTATTAAATTTATTTACTTGGTATTTTAATAATGTAAAGGTTACATTTAAAAAGTCATAAGTAACATTTTGCCAAGTAGGAAACACGTAACATTTCTATTTATTGAATTTACTTGCTAATACAGTTCAAAATCTCTCCCTTGTAATTTTAGAGTATTGCAATAATGTAAATGTTACATTTAAAAGTCAAGAATGTGTAACATTTCTATTTACTGAATTTATTTTTAATACAGTTGAAAATCTCTCCCTCAGTGTAACAGTGTTGTAACTTTAGAGTATTGCAATAATGCAAATGCTACATTTAAAAGTCTTAGAAATAACATTTTCCAACTTAAGTATCATTTTTCTAAGAAACACGTAACATTTGTATTTGTTGAATTTATTTACTTACAAATACAGTTGAAAATCTCTCCCTTCCCAATCAATGTATCATATAATTAGTAATGCCATTTTAGATCATTGCAATAATGTAAATGTTACATTTTAAGTCTTAAAAGTAACATTTTCCCAAGAAACATGTAACATTTTTATGTATTAGATTTATTTACATAAAAATATAATTGAAAATCTCTCCCTTCCCCAATTATAAATATTAATTTTATTTACATAAAAATATAATTGAAAATCTCTCCCTTCCCCAAAAATGTAACACATAATTATTAATGTAATTTTAGAGTATTGCATTAAATAAAAAGTTACATTTAAAAGTAACATTTTTTCCCCAAGTATGAAACATGTAACACTTCTATTTATTGAATTTATTTATTTATTAATACAGTTGAAAATATCTCCATTTTCCCCAATGTAACATATATTTAGTAATTTTTAGAGTATTGTAATAGTGTAAATGTTATATATATATATATATGTATTTCTTTCACAAACATTGTTACATAAATATTAGTAACAATTTTAGAGTATTGCAGTAATGTAATGTGTAACATTTCTATTTATTGAATTTATTTTTAATACAGTTGAAAATCTCTCCCTCAATGTAACAGTGTTGTAACTTTAGAGTATTTTAATAATGCAAATGCTACATTTAAAAGTCTTAGAAGTAACATTTTCCAACTTCAGTATCATTTTTCTAAGAAACATGTAACATTTTTATGTATTACATTTATTTACATAAAAATATAATTGAAAATCTCTCCCTTCCCCAAAAATGTAACACATAATTAGTAATGTAATTTTAGAGTATTGCAATAAATAGTTACATTTAAAAGTAACATTTTTTAAACTATGAAACATGTAACATTTCTATTTATTGAATTTATTTACTTATAAATACATGTTATACTGTAACACATAATTAGTAATGTAATTTTTAGAGTATTGTGATTAATGTAAATGTTACATATAAGAGTCTTAAAAGTAGCTCCCAACACGCACCTGCCGAAGACGAAGATGATGGTGAGGAGCGGCACCAGTTTGAGCATTTCCTGTTGGGTGTACGTTGCCATGACGGCGAGCTGCAGGAAGTAGAGCAGGTACAGGTGCAGCGAGTGTCGCACGTAATGATCGTGAACGGCCACCTCGCGGTTCTCCCACGTCCCGTCAAACAGAGGCTTCAGCGTCCCGAACCTCAGACGCGACGCACCCTGAACCAGCACACCTGAAAATAAAATGTGTCACGGTTTCCACAAACATATCGGGCTGCACAACTGTTGATAATAATCAGAAATGTTTCTTGAGCAGCAAATCAGCATATTAGAATGATTTCTGAAGATCATGTGACACTGAAGACTGGAGTAATGATGCTGAAAATTCAGCTGCGCATCACAGAAATAAATTATATTTTAACACATATTCACATAGAAAACAGCTGTTTTATATTGTAAAAATATTTTACTATTTTACTACTTAGTAATATTTTACTACTATTTTCACTGTATTTTTGATCAAATAAATGCAGCCTTGGTGAGCAGAAGAGACTCTTTCAGAAACATCTAAAATGTTAATCTCAACCTGTTTTTGTATATATAAAATGCTTTCTAGATTAAAATGAGTGCATATTTGCTCACCGAGCACGATGGGAATGCTGGCGAAGAACGCACAGCGCAGTGTGTAGATCAGCCGGAGGGCGGAGCTGTCAAGGGGCGGGGCTTCAAAGGGGAGGAGCTTGTATCCTGCCCACGTCAGTAACGGGAAAATCACCGCGGCAGCCGTTACACAAACACACAACCGCACACACTCCACACAACTGTCTGAGAGAGACACAGAGATCTGTGATCAACACAAGCACGCTTTCTTTTAGCAACTTTTGAGTCATCTGCCATAATGTGTGCAGTATATGATACTGTATCCCACAATGCAATGCACTCTACTTGACCCAGGTTATTATTGTATTGTATTATTGTACCTTATAAAAAAAATATTGTTGTTACTCGATTGACTTTTTTTAATTTAATTTTATTTTAATTTAACATTTTATTTCAAGTAACTATTTTTTAAAATAAATGTTTAGATATTTTATTTTGTCACTTGAAATACAAGTTAAAATTAAAATATAAAAAAATATTTAAAAAAACATTTTTGTTACTTAAAACACCATGAATAAACATTTTATTTCAGCTAGTTGCCAAGACAACATTTCTCATTTTTAGTTAGTTTAACTTACTAAAATAACTAAAACTGAAACTAATTTAAAAAATAGATATTAGAAAAAAACAAACTACAGATATGAAAAAAAAAAATTTTTAAATGACAACAAAAACAGGAAATATAAAAATAATTCAAAATATTAATAAAATAATAGTAAAACCAAAACATAACACTTACGTTAACTGAAGAATAATAAAAGATTAAAACAACTTAAACTTATTTATTTCAGCTAGTTGCCAAAGTAACATTTCTCATTTTTGTTTAGTTTAACTTGATGTACTAAAATAAACTAAAACGGAACTAAATTTATTAATAAACTACATAGACATATTTTTTAAAAAGCTAATAAAAATGACTAAAATGCAACAAAAGTACAAAAATTTTACTAAAATAAATAAAATTATATTATTATATTATTTGCCTATAGACATATTTTTTAAAAAGCTAATCAAAATGACTAAAACACAACAAAAGTACTAAAATTTTACTAAAATAAATAAAAACTCATTCAAAATATTAACAAAAATTAAAAATCAAGGATATTAAAATAACATCTTTCAGTTTAAATACGACGAACGACCCAAAAACCGAACAGAAACCAATTGTTTTCTCTTAACTCGTTTACTTTATCAGACTGACACTAAAAATGTACAATATTTTACACAAAATGCAATTACTATAATTTGAAATGACTGCATTTACTGAATTTAACACGTTATAATGTCAATACTGACAATACTGTTACTTATGCATTTGAGTGCATACTATTTTTACTTCATACTATTTTTTAAAATCCATATACTAAGCAGTACACAATTACTCGATAACTAATTAAGACATGTTTTCATGCAGATATCGTCCATTACTGTATTGATTTTAAGATCATAAATACTGTCAGTTCCACACAAATCTGGCTATATGTGACCCTGGAGCACAAAAGCAGTCATAAGGGTCAATTTTTGGAAATTGAGATTTATGCATCATTCCGTTCAGCCAATCGCGGTGAGCTTTTAATCCACCAATCAAAACACTCTTTACTGAACAGACTCAAGAAGCTCAACGTTGTGCTTGTACTGTGCATTGTTTCTATGATCGGGTCCTTGATGTAAAGACATTGACACATTTTAGTGGGCAGTGTTGGGCAAGTTACTCTGAAAATGTAATTAAATTACTGATTACTGATTACTCCTTTTAAAAGTAATCATGTTACTGTTCTGATTACTTTATTTCAAAAGTAATTAGTAATTAGTTACATTACTATTTACTGTTACTTTATTCTCCATTACATTTATGAAATCCCAGCATACACGCTCCCGATAAGTATTTGTTATTAAAGCATCAACATTCACAGAACACTGTTATTTTAACTAAAGCAAGCGGCTGCTGCGTGCATGGTTTGGTATTGTAATGAGCCGGCAGTGAGTGCTAGCAGCCAGGTGCATTATGGGTATTTGTTTAGAGTTGATTTATGTGTTAATTAAGCAAGATGGTTGGGTTTTTGCGTTAGCAATGTTATTTATGTTTATGTTCAAGTTAGTTCGGGTGGGTTTGGTTCATTTACTGCCTTGTTATAAAAAGTGTGGCTGTCACCGTCATGGAGAGAGATGTGTAGGGGAGGCACTTGGCGATATGGCCTTGCTCGTACATGTGCTTATTCTGTGTTTACAATAAAAGGAAAAAGATGATAGTACTGCCTCCTACTAGTTAGTAGTGATGGGAAGTCCGGTTCTTTTCCGCGAACCGGTTCTTTCGGACAGTTCGTTTCAATGAACCGGTTCAAAAAAAACGGTTCATCGGTTCTTTTACGCTCTAACGTAATGATATCAAGTCTATCGTCCCGGGCCGGGATGAAAATACACATTCAAATATATAAAGTCAGTAATCATAACTTCAGTCAGTTAAAACATAATCATGATCTGAAAAGTTTACAATTAAGTTTTGCAACTAAGCACCCAAATACAGTAACAGGCAGTGATGTGCATAGAGGATTTAAGTCTTGAAGATATAAAGTAAATAAATGAGTTGTCATCAGCGCAGAAACCATAACCCTCTTA